AAACAACAATAGCATCAGTGGCCAGTGGGTTCTAGAAGTCTGGATGCTTCCAGTCTATTTGTGACCCCATCTGGACCTGACATGGCTGTTGTAGGTTGACCAGATCCCATCAGTTATGCAGCAATCTCTGCACTGGCTGGAAGCAGAGAGAGAGAGCAAGAGAGAAACATTGATATGAGAAAGACACATCACATCGCTTCCCACACACACCCCAACATCTAGGCCGGGGATGGAAACTGAAACTGAGGTACATGCCCTTGACTGAGAATTGAACCCAAGGCCCTTTGATTTGAGGGCCGACATTCTAACCACTCAGCAAAACTGGCCAGGGCTCTGACTTCCTTATCAGTCTAGATACTTTGATTTTGGAATTAGTCCCTGGCCTCAGTTTCACAGCCCTCCTCCTTGTACTGAAAACAAATGATTTACCCAGACACCAGCTATTCACACGGCAGAACAATCCCACCAATTTGGCACAGGGTGTGGTGGAGGAGCAGAGTTAAAGAGAGCCACAAACTCAAGGAAGCATCCATTCATGGAGAGAGGGGTCCCGTGATGGGTCAGATAGGAGAGGAAGGAAAGCTGTGCATACAGAGGTGCAGGGTCGTCTTGATCTTGGCCTTGACCACACCATCTCTGCTGGCTCAAGTTCCGGTGCTCCTTACATTAGGGAGGAAGAGGAGGAAGAGGAGAGGACATGACAAGAATGGAACTTAAAATGTTGCTGGATTCTTTTAAATGCAATAAGTTAAAATGTTTGCACTATCTAAGTTGTGCTGCCATGGCACAAAGTTCTGGTTTCCAGGCTCTGAATATGGTTCTATCTAGTACTGTAGATCTCTGTTCTGATCTCTTGTTCTTTTTAACAAACCTTAACGTTAAGCTAGCATGTAAATACTTCCTGTGCAACTTCATAGCCTCTGTCACCATTATTTCAAATAGCCATTCTTCTGAATGGATGTGGCATGTTTTATTAACTATAAAATTATACAGCAAAATAAATTATAAAGCAATGAAATTATTCATTTCATTGTTGGACATTTAACCAATAGCCATTTGTGAACATATCATGGTTTATTCACCCATTTGCCTGATGAATAAACACAGGTTTTGGTCCTCCCTAGCCCACTTTTCCTCTCTTGGAAACAATGCTGCCCTAAGTATTCTTGTGTTTCTTTGTGAACAGGTTTGAGAAATTTGGGGGAAAAGTATTGAGTCATGGGGTTTGGGCCACTTTAGTTTTTGTAGATATTGAAGATTGCTTCCCAACATGGTGGTGCCGGTTCCCATTCCCACCTGGTGTTCCCGTTGTTCCGTATAGTTCCTGTCAATTCATGGTCTTGCCACTCCGAGTTTTGGCCAGCCTGATGGGATGAAATGGTACCTTGTGACAAATTAGATTTATTTTATAACTTGCTTCCCCTGGCTAGAACAGAGCCCCTGTTATTAGGAAAAAAATAGTTCTTACTCTGTCTTCAGTGTTCTTTTGACATCTGTATTACTTTCAACAATAAAGATAAATTAAAAAAATTCTTTTGAGCCCTAGCCAGTTTGGTTCAGTGGATTGAAGGGTGCCGGATTCAATTCTAGTCAAGGACACATACCTCAGTTGCAAGTTCCCCTGCCCTGGTTGGGGTGTGTGCAGGAGGCAACCAATCAATGTGATATTTCTCTCTGTCTCTCCCTCTCCCTTCTACTCTCTCTAAAAAAAATTAAAAAAAACCAATGGAAAAATATCCTTGGGTGAGGATTAACAAAAAAAAATTTTTTTGAGATGTTTTCTAAGCAAGACAATTGTTTAGAAGTCTATTAAATGACTTAAAAGTTAGATTATAAAATAATTAAAAATTTTTAAATAAATTGAAAATATTCCTAGTAAGCTGCACTATATATACGCTATATAACTCGGTGTCAGAATCCCAGCTGACAACAGCTGGCACCTGGCTGGTGGCTACTATGTTCCATGGTGATGAGAACTTTTAAGATTGACTTTCTTAGCAACTCTCAGGAAGCAATACAGCATTGCTAACTATAGTCATCATGCTGTGCATTATATCCCCAGGAGTTATTTTATAACTAGAAGCCGGTACCTTTTGACCACCTTCACCAATTTTGCACCCACCAAACCCCACCTCTGGCAACCACCAACCTGTTCTCTGTATCTATGAGCGTGGTTTTTTTTTGTTTTGTTTTGTTTTAATTTTTGTTTTTAGAACCCACATATAAGTGAGATTGTATGGTATGTGTCTTTCTCTGCCTGACTTATTTCGCTTAGCATAATGCTCTTGAAGTCCATCCATATTGTCACAAGTGGTAGGATTTTTTGTTTTGTTTTGTCATTCCTTACCTGAGGATACTTTTCCATTGCTTTTTCAGAGAGAGTGGAAGGGAAGAAGGGGGGAGGAAGGAAGGAGGCAGAGAGTAAACAGAAGGGGGAGAGGGAGAGAGAGAGAGATCAATTGGTTGCCTCCTGCATCCACCTGAACTGGGCTGGGGATCTACACTCAACCTGCAACCCATGTATGTGCCCTTGACAGGGAATCAAACCCATGACTCTTTGGTATGTGGACAATACTCTAACCACTGAGCAATGATAGCCAGGGTGCAAATGGCAAGATTTCATTCTTTTTTATGGTTGAGTAAAATTTTATTTTGTGTATGTAGCACATTTTCTTTATCCATTCATCAGTCAGTGGCCACTTAGGTTACGACCATATTTTGGATATTGTAAATAACGCTACACTAAACATGGGTTGCACGTATGTTTTCCAATTAGTGTTTTCTTCCCATGTGTTTTTGATCACATGGCTCCTAAGCCACTACCCCGTAGTTTCTTGGTTGGTTTAGATGTCTACCTTTCTCTGTAGGCTGTGAAGCCCTTGAGGCAGGGAATGTGTTGGATAGTGTTGGGGTGTGGAGGAGAAAGGGTGTGGAACCATCTTCCTATTCTCTACTTTGGAACATCTTACCCATTCTCATCAGCGCCTCCCTGACCTAGCTGCTACCCAAGAAAAATGATTAGATTATTGGCTACATAATAAATACCAGATAGCTATTTCTTAGGTTGGTTATTCTGTGGATTAATATCTCAACTAAAGTATTTTATAGCTTTAAAATGATAAAGATTATATGTCCTGATTTTAAGTAGTAAATGACAGAAATTATTTATTTAAAAAAATATTTTTATTAATTTTAAAGAGAGAGGAGGGGAGAGAGAAACATTGATGAGAGAGAGAAACATCGATCAGCTGCCTCCTGCACGCCCCTTACTAGGGATGAAGCCTGCAACCCCAGCATGTGCCCTGACCGGGAATTGAACCAGCACCCTCTTGGTGTATGGGATGATGCTCAACCAACTGAGACACATGGGCAGGGCAGAAATTATTTATCTTTACTGAAGAACTTCTTTCGCATCACAGCTTGTTTAGTATGAATCATTTTTTTTCTTAAAGGAAATTTGTTTAAATTTGAAGTTCTGTATCTAGGAAAGTGAAATGTTCACATTGCGAAACTAAAAATAACATACTGGAGAGATGATGCCAAAACAATGGTTTCAATCAGAAATGTTTTCTGAAGCCAGCATCTAATGAGAACTCATTACTGAATCAGATCATGGTTAGTAGGCATTCATTGTTTTAAGCCAATTAATAATGGTTTTGAGAAACCTAAGTAATGGAATATTTTTAAAACCCTCCAGCTTTGCTCAGATTTCTAATGCGTTGTGATAAGCAAATGTTCCTTATATGCAAGACGTAATATGAATGATTATATCTTACAACAAAGTTTTAATTAATATCCTCACTAGAGACCCAGGGTATGAAATTCATGTGGGGAGTAAGGGGTCCCTTAGCCCAGCCTGCGCCCTCTCCAATACGGGACCCCTTGGGGAATATCGACTGCCTCTTGCAATATGGGACTGCTGGCTTCTAACCACTCTCCTGCCTGCCTGCCTGATTGCCCCTAATTGCTCCCCTACCAGCCTGATCACCCCTAACTGCTCCACAGCTGGCCTGGTCATCCGTAACCACTCTGCCTCACCCCGCACCTGGGACCGAGAATTCCTTCCTCCAGCTGGTCTCAGGCATCTGGGACCCAGGCTTCCCTCTCTCTGGCTAGCTATAGGCACCCAGGACCCAGGCCAGCTTCGCCAGGGCTGGCTCCAACTGCAAGGGACCATGGGTAGGTGGCTTCGCTTGGGCTGCAGCTGCAGGCGCCTGGGACAGCGGGGCAGGTGACTTGTCCCTCTCCTGGGCCTCAGCCTGGCTGGTCCCCATTCCTCTCTCATGAGCACATTTGTACCTGGCTGGTCCCCATTCTTCTCTCCCCAGTGTTGAGTGTCTGAACAGTTATTGCATGATGGTGTGAGTGTGTGATAACCATTTGCATATTAGCTCTTTATTACATAGGATTCTCTTAGTAGATAGACAGGTTTCCTCAAATCAGATCCCACTGCTCATAAATTATTAGATTCATTTTAGAAACAAGTGCTTTTATTTTGTTGTATAATTTACTAAATTTGCTGAGATCAAATTTACTAAGGAAGCCTCCTGTAATTTCTAGGGAGAAGTACAAGCTGGTACAGAAACTGTCTTATTTCTATAAAAGTGATTTCTGAAGCTTGAAATACAGATATGGGATGAGGAAACTTTAGGAAACTATACTTAACAGTCCTTGTTAGTCTGTCTCACCAGGCTTAGTGATATTAACTTCAGGAACATTTGACTTTGCTTTATTCTTTTCTCTTTATTTGGAAACATCTTCTGTTTATTGCACACACAAGTCATAAGATCTTTAATAATATAACTGATCAGTGTGTCAGCATCATGTATGGTCCACTTAGCAACTTAATAGTACGCTTTAGAGATAATTTAAGCTCTAGATATAATCTGTCAAATAATTTAATGCTTATTTTTTTCAACAGATGTGAATTATTAAAAAAGAAAAATGGCCCAACGGAGCACTCTATTTCCTTCTCTTGTCACCAAGGAAAGGTATAATATATGGAAAATATGCATCTAAGGTATACTTTTTCTTTTTACCAATCCCATAGAGGCTGCTAGTGGGAATGATGGCCTTTGTAAATGGAACTTTATGATAGCTGTTACATTATCCAAGAAGGATTTTGTTCAAGGGCAAGGGCAGTATTGTTGTGTAGCCTCTCCAGCTTTCCATTTGTCGGATGCCGCGGGCCACCCCGCGACCATGAGAGGTGAAGGCTTCACATTAGCCCTGCAGTACGGATGTACTTCTGGTCAGCAGAGAAATATAATTCTGGAGATGTGGGTGGTTAAGGTCTCTGTGAGCCCTTTTAAATCAGAAGTTGCAAATTGAGTGTCCATAGGCCAGTATTGGCTTGTGGACATACATTGTTTGATCTACCACATCACCTTTAATACTTTTAAAATTAGTTGTTATCACTTAAGAATCAGTTGATTTCTCATACGAGTCTGGATTTTCTGGCTCTTCTTGAATATCAGATGATCTGAAAAGTGGACCTGGCATTCCCAGGTGGTCACTTAGGTGGAGCAGAATTGTGGTTCCTTTTAGTTGAGGAATACCCTTTCCAATCCTCCAAAGTCGTCCCCCCCCCCCCCACACACACACACTCCCTATTGCATTATCCAGTGTGCTTCACTCAGTCATGTTACCTGCCTGACCTTTGTCGGCATTTGGGTTTGTAACCACTGCTTTCTGTGGAGAAAGGAGGTGGACATGTCAGGAAATTTTATTAATAAGCTTGATCTTTTTAAAAAAAATTTTTTTAAAAAATTGATTTTTAGAGAGAGGGGAAATGAAAGGGAAAGAGAGAGAGAAACATTGATCGACTGCCTCCTGCACATATTCCTATCAGGGATTGAGCCCACAATTGGGCATGTGTCCTGATCAGGAATTGAACCCAAACCATTTGGTGCACAAGAATGATGCTCAACCAACTGAGGCACACTGGCCAGGGCAATAAGCTTGATCTTGATAACACAGCTTATCCTGGGAAAACATGTCAGCGTGCCCAATTCTGACAGCCTCTTGGTTTTAGAGGCCATGGAGCCTGCTACCAACACACTTGACTCTCTGGGTACGATTGTTAAAAGATGCTGCCCAGCTCACCAAGGAAAGTCTTTGGGGCAGAAACCCTGCCTCGAACAGCACTGAGCTTGTAGGGACAGATAATTTGCATTTTCTGCTCTGGGAAGTCTTGAAACTGGCTTTAACCTGGACCTTTTCCCTGATTAACAACCCCAGTAACATGGCTCCTTCCCGCAGACGCGTCAGAACCATGCCCCGACACAGCCAGTCCCTGACCATGGCACCCTACTCTGTAAACCTCATGGAGCAACTGGAAGACAGGATCCTGTGCCACGAGAAAACAACCGCCGCCCTCGTGGAGCACGCCTTCCGAATTAAGGACGACATCGTCAACAGCTTGCAGAAAATGCAAAACAAAGGGGGAGGCGACCGCTTGGCCCGGCTCTTCCTGGAGGAGCACATCAGAAACATAACGGCCATCGTGAAGCAGCTGAACCGGGACATCGAGGTAAGGTGTGTGCCTCAGGCGGGCTGTGTTCCAGGAGGCGGGCCAGTGCCCCTGCCAGGCAGCAATGCCTCAGGCCAACGTTGTCTGTTCTGTCCTGTCTGTTCTTACAGATTGTCCAGGAAACAGCTTGAACACATATCCTCGTTAAATTTCTTCCAGTGTTTGGTAGCAGTTACTGCCAGTGTTATTTTGTTTAATCTAAATTTACTTTGCTGATTATTAGATCACTTTTTTTTTTTTTGTCTCTAAATGTAGAGAACTAGTCAAAAAGTTTCCCTGTAAAAATTCTTCATATCCCTGAAGACAGCTATTAGGCCAATTACTAGGTCATCCTTTGCTCTTCTGATTAAATATTTCTAGGTCATGATGATTTTATATAATATAGTTTATTACTCAAACAACCTGGAGATTTGAATTGCTTCTCAGACTCCTCTTTTATTGTTTTATTTTTCTCTGCAATGAGCCCAATAAACAGCCAGTGTTGTCTATTTTTAGAGTTGGTAAATTTATTGCTATTTATTCACCACAGGATCACATAATTTAGTTCAGAAACCTTAAGATTATGTAGGGCCTGGGTTCTATCACTAAACAATATTAATATCCTCCACATGTAATTTTTAACTATATGAATAAGAAGTACATTGACTAGATTAAGGAAAATCTTTGTTGCAAGTCATAGACCTGGTGTCTTAATTATACTTAGGAAATTAAACCTCATTTTTTTGGTGTCAGATTTGTATTTATGCATGTGTGTATATATTTAACAGCCTTTTTGAGGTATAATTTAAAAGCCAGAAAGATTCACCCATTATAAGTGTACAACTCAATGATTTTTAGTAAATTTATAAAAACCACACCCCAAAATTTATATAAGTCTATTTGCAATCAATTCCTACCTCTAATCTAGCCTCAGGTGAGCACCAGTCTGCTTTCTGTCTCTATAAACTTTGTCTCTTCTAAACATTCCATGTAAATGGAATCTCATGAAGTCATCTGCATCTGGCTTCTTTCACTTGGCGTAATCTCTTTGAGATTCAGCCTTGTTCTAGAATGTTCTTTTTATGTCTGAGTAGTATCCTATTGTATGGATATACCACATTCTGTTTGTGCCTTTATTATTTGAAGGACATTTGGGTTGTTTCAAATTTTTTAGCTATTATGAAGAAAGCTGCTGTGAACACTTGTGTATAAGTCTTTGTATGGGCATATGTTTTTATTTCTCTTGGGTAAATTACTAAAAATGGAATTGCTAGGCCTTAGAGTAAGCTTTTGCTTAACTTTTTAAAACACAGCCAAACAATTTTGCAAAGTGGCTGTATCATTTTCAACTCACCAGTAATATATGAGGTTTCCAGTTTTTCCACATCCTCACCAACAGTTGGTATTATTGTCTTTTTATAGTCATTATAGGGCATGTGTAGTGGTACTTCATGGTAGTTTTAATTTGAGTTTTCCTGATAACTAATGATGTTGAGCACCTTTTCATATGCTTACTGATGATTTGTGTGTTTTATTTGGTGAAATGTATATTCAAGTCTGCTGACTCTTTTAAAGTGTTGATTTTTTATTGTGGTAAGATAGTTAACATTGTATCTATTTTCAGTACATAATTCAGGGACAGTAGTTACTTTCACAGTGTTGTATGCAATCATCACCACTGTCCATTTCCAAAACACTTTGGTCATCCCAGATAGAAATGCTGTACCCATTAAACAATAAATTGCCATTCCACTCTTCCCTCAGCCACCGGTAACCTCTGAGTTACTTTCTGTCTCTGTGAATTTGCCTATTCCAGTGTGTCATGTAAATGGAATCATATTCAAAATTGCCTTTGTATCTGGTTAATTTCACTTAGCATGTGTTCAAGTTTCATCCATGTTGTGGCATGTGTTAGAACTTATTTTAAAATTGGATTATTTGTCTTATTATTGAGTTGTAAAAGTTCCATATAGAGTCTAGATACAACTCCCACATGCGATGGGCAGTGCTAGTCATTCATTCTTTGCTTTCTATATATTTCTACCCATTCCAGAAGAATTTCTTCATGACACTGGGTAATTCTAGCTTTAGATCTCACTGACTTTTCCCTGCCTCATCATTATTTTAATGCGAGGTCATTGCACAGCTTAGATAATTTGAATCATTAGCAAACATACCTAGAATTCTGAAGTCATCAATTATTTAGGCTTTTGCTAATTTTTTTCTTTAAGTTTTTAACACAATTTTTAATGTGTTTAAGATGATTTTAAAAAGCAATTTGCAGTGCAACAAGTTTTAAGATAATTTTAAATCTGCTTTTTCATCTGAAACACATAATGTATAATGATTACTCTTGCCTTAGCAGACAACACTCTTTCCCATTTGCATATAATTTTTGCAGTGTGCAATTTTGCAATTGAAAAGATTATTTTCCTTCTAGAGAGGGATACTGAGCAAAATCAAACTCTGGTAAAATTTTGCACATGTGAACATTTGCTTTTATGACTGGTGATAACTAGGCATCATTATAAAGTAACATAAGGAAGTTAGGAAATATGAAAAACTACATGGTTTTATATATTATAAACTTGAGTATGTTTACTCAAACATAATCAAAATTAGGATGCTGGATGAAACATCAAAATTGACATATTTTAGCCAAACTTAAAAAAATGAAATCATGGTGTAGATTAAAATTTTAAATGTACTAAAAGGAAGTCTTTATCAGTAATATAAAATTGGGAGGAGGGTATATTACAAATGTAGCATTTGCCTCTTTAAAGTATAGAGGTGTGAAGATGTTCAGATTGTATTTGAATGATGTGAAAAGTGTATATATACATTTTTGTCTGTAGATTGTTTTTAAATAATATATTTTATTGACTTTTTACAGAGAGGAAGGGAGAGGGATAAAGAATTAGAAACATCAATGAGAGAGAAACATCCCATCAGCTGCCTCCAAGGTACATGCCTTTGACCAAAATCAAACCTGGGACCCTTCAGTCCACAGGACGACGCTCTATCCACTGAGCCAAACAGGTCAAGGCTGTCTGTAGATTCTTAATGAATTTCTTCTGTAAATTGCTTGTGGTTCTAAAATTATTTTTATTAATGGTTTACACATATTTTCAGTTAATTCAGTAAAATTTTATGGAGCATTTGTTTTATAAAAATGTGTCTATGCAGGTGATTTTGTATGACAAAACTAAAACTGAAACCAGTTTTAACATATAGAGCTCACTCCAAAGCTCCTGATAGAGCTAGTCAAATTAAGTTAATGTGAATACTATATCTTGGTAAATTTATTTAGAAAAGTCTTTCTAATTCTCTACCATATGGCTCTGAAAACAGTACACCCAGGAGGAAAAGTAAAATGTTGTCAAACCACTAGTCTTTGTGATCCTCAGAAACTAGAACTAAGTCTTCGTTTTTCTATTTTTTAGCACCTACCAGAGTCTAGCACATGGTAGGAGCTGAATAAATGTTGCATAATCAATGTCTCCAGGGTCCTGAGGCCTACCAGAATCCTGTAATTATTGCCTATGTTCTATCAGCAGATTCCGGTGTCAAAGCAGATCACACTTGTGTACTAGTACACAGAAAGTGCTTGGTAAATGTTGAATGAGAAAATACATTGTTTAAATACATTCCCACCCATTGTCTTCACTGGCAGTTTGCCTTGCAATGTGGAGGATGTCATCAATTATTCATTCCTCAGAAACTTTACACAAATTACCATCATTATAAATTTAGAAGAGGTAACATAGTCAACTATGAATTTGCATGTCTGGATTCTCCATACTGTCTTTTACTTAAGCTCTTATCAATCCCTGGGAGCCAGATTCCAGTGACCAGTCCATAGCCCTTGGTTGGTGGTAAGCTTTCCTTTCCACGCCAACTGGATGGTTTGAGGAAGTGGTTGGGACCTCATGTCCCCTTAGAGCTTTCACTGTGTCTTTGGAGAGGTGAGCAGTGGGGTCTGCTACCTGCTGACTGGAGTCTGCAGCTGCTCCTGGTTTCCATGCTTCATAAGGTCCCACTGGTTGGGGTGTTGGCTTTGACCTAGTTGGGTTATGGGAAACCATATCAAGCCTTTGTCTAATTGATTCAATTATACACAGTTTGATAGTTTATGGGCTTTCTGAACTCAAGTGATGAATGCTGAGTTGGACTTTATGAACATGTCAAGGCAGAGGCATGGACAAGGATGGATAGATGGGAACTTGTGAGGAGAGAGTCTTGGCTCCTGGACTTCAGGTATTTTTCCTAAAAAGGGAAGTTTGGCTTGCAGCTCAGCAGTCATGTCCCATTGGAACAGGTATACCAGCAGAGGGACTTTGGTGATTATCATCTTTGTTAGTAGGGTTTTCCCAGAGAAACAGCTAGTAGGCTATATATAAACTTTTTTTATTATAAGGCATTGGCTTACATGATTATGGAGTTCTGCCGTCTGTAAGCAGGAGACCTGAGAAGCTGGTGATGTAGTTTGAAGGCCTGAGAACTGGAAGGCTGATAGTGTAGAGTCCAGTCCAGGTCTGAAGGCTTGGGAGCCAGAAGCGCTGAGGGCAGGAGAAAATCCATGTCCCAGCTCACTCAGGCAGAAATCAAATTCCAGCTTCATCTCAAAGGATTGGATGGTCCCCACTCACTTTGAGGAAGGCCCTCTACTTTACTCAGCTGGCCTATTCAAATGATAATCTCTTCCAGAAACATCCTCACAGACACACCCAGAACTACTGTTTACTCCGCTACCTGGGCATGCCATGGCTCAGCCATGTTGACATATAATTAACCATCACATTACCCAAGTTCACTTTAACTCTACCCATTCAACTTGGTTTGTCATGTGGCGTGGCTCCAGGGCATGAAGACAGTGAATTGAATGGAATTTGAGTATTTGTTCCGTTCTGCTGATAGTTGTTTCACTGTACTAATTGGTGTTCTGGGTCGGCCTTTGTCTCCGTACATTTTCACGAGTCTAAGTTCACTTTTGAGGACCTGGTTACCTCCAGCACCAGCTA